AGTTTTCTTTTCAATTTCGATTCGCATTATTTTACTAATACTATAATCTATTCTAACGTAGCGTCGCTGTTAGCTAAATATAATGAGTTGGTTGCTTACATTTGCTCGGAAAAACCTGGTTGTGTAATATTGACGGAAACATGGTTGTCTTCGGTTATACCTGATGCTTTGGTTGCGTTAAACAATTACACTATTTTTAGGAAAGATCGAAATAGTAGAAAAGGTGGTGGAGTGTGTATTTATGTATCAGATCTCATCTTAGCCAATTTTAAATTAAATTTACTTGACACTGATATCCCAGGAGTTGAATCACTTTTTCTGAAAGTATTCAACTCTAATGTAACATTCGTTCTTGGATGCATATATCGGCCTCCAAACACTAATTTTAATGACGACAAAATCTTTTTTGAATCGCTAACAAGGTTAGCCAACTCGTATGATAAGTTGTTTATATTTGGAGATTTTAATATGCCAAATTTGACGTGCAGAAGTTGTTTTGTGTGATAATATCACTGAGTTTAAAGCCAAATACGATTCTCTTGTTAGCAATAAGTAATTGAAGTAGGGAATGCAAAAGTTTCACATATCGGCATCATATCATTGTTAGCGCGGCCATAACAGGCTTCGGTCTCTGCCCGATCACAACATGCTAATAATAATAATAAAAAAATATATAACCATCTATCTAAACAATTTTTACAAAATATATGATTACATTTAGTTTTAACAGGTTGATCACATTTGGTATGACAAATGGGGCAGTCATCATCGATTTCTTCATTAACAAAATCGTATGAAAGTACTATTTTGTTTTTATCAACTCTATCTTATTTTTATCAATACGACTCCGCAGCCGAAGGGAGTTCAGTTTATTGCTAACTAAATGGATTATTGTAAAATATGCAAAACAAAAACTAAATCCACTGGAGAACCAGAATTTATTGTAAAATATAAACGCTGGAGAAGAATATCAACTTGCAGAATTTGTCAATCAGTAAAAAATAATATTTCTAAATCACCTAAAGATATTTTAATTTTTGAATTATTTAAACCCTCTAGGAAAAAATATCCAACACGTCGCTTTCAACGCAGAGGAACTTTTTTGTTTAATATTGTCTCTTCCACCAACATCAGCTTCGGTAGAAAGAAGTTTTTCGGCATTAAGACGCAATAAAACATATAGCAGAAACACTATGTCCAAACGCGTTTAAATAATTTATCAATATTACGAATTGAACGAAGAACATTGGTAAAAGAATTATTGAAAGATGATAATTTTTATAATAAAATTATAGATGACTTTGCGGCAGCTAAAGCCCGTAGAAACGAGTTAATCTATAAGAATCAATAATCTGAAATCTTTCTTTATTATCAGACACCATCAGGTACCACATTAGTTTGTAGTTGTTGTGTTTGCATGTTTTTAAGTATGTATTACTAGAATTTATTTTTGTTTTGCACTTCAAAACTACTCTGCATTGTGTTCTACCTTTTTACTTTATTCTATTATTTTTTAAATTTTGTTATTAACAGAAAAATATATTTTGTTTTGTTTTTAGAGTATTACTATAATTTATTTTTATTTTGCACTTCAAAACTATTTTGCATTGTGTTCTACTTTTTTTTACTTTATTCTATTATTTTTTAAATTTTCCTAGTATTAACAGAATAATATATTTTTGTTTTGTTTTTAGAGTTTGTCTTTATTTTTCTTCTTCTTCTTGGATCTTCTTGGTATGGAAACGATGAGAATAATATTCTCACCTGAGGATGACCACTTTGTGGTCGAAACGCGTTGTGCTATTAAAATAAAAGTTTGGTGTGACGGGCTAATCGTGTTTTTGTTCATTTATTTTTCTTAACTACATATTATTGTTATTTCTTTACTTCCATGTTCTGCAACTCCGTCTTAGAATGAAAGCTTAACATTTTATTATTACTAATAATATGTTTATTTCTTTTGTTCCTTAGCAAAACATTTTTCTCATGTTTTACCTTTCCCGATCCTTTCCTTTTCCTAGTAAGAAGTGCTCTAAACCTCCTCGTGGTTCTTGCTGGGCGAATTAATTTTTTGTTTATTTGGTTTAATTTTTGATACGCATTTACTAACAATAAACATTTGTGTGACTTATTACAAATAACATCAGACTGAGAGCAAAAAATTAGTTTGGCTAATTAGAGCTATCCGTAAATTTGGCCGACCCATGATTCTTGATCACGAGCCGTCACTGGTCATCGCGGACCACCAACCTCCATCAAGCGACGTCCTTGCCGGCCCACTACGCAGTCACGGCCAGATCCTCCCAACTTGTTATTTATTTTAATTTCCCCTTTTCGTAATTTTCGCCCTCCATTTTGAATTTGATTACCTAGTAAATTTTAACCTTTAATTTTTACCTTTAAACTTTAAACCCCCTTTTGTTAACGTCCACCAAAACTTAAAGTTAGTAATTCAGTTTAGCGTTTAAGTTTCAATTTTAAAACTTGTTTAGTAAACTTACTTCGTTAAAAACTTTCGATTTATTTGTGAATCAATCTTAACGTTTAACCTTCTTTTTTTGTAACCCTTGGCATCACCTTGTTAACGCCCGTTAAGACTTAAATTTGTAAACCAGTTTTAACGTTTTTTTGTATTTTTCCTCGCGCCTAAACAAACCATAGCTATGGCTTGTGCCAAGGTCGCCAAGTAACACTTGTCTTTTTTTTACGTTTTCATCTTTGTATAAACTTTTGGTTTTGTAATAAGTTGGAGAAATTTTGGACTAATTGTGTTCTTTTTTAATCCCTAATTTTCGGATTTAAATTAGTCTAACTGACTCTGGGGTGGTAGAGTTCCTGAAAATTTTAAATCCGTGGCGCTCGTGAAGAATCGAATTTTGAACCCCGCCGTCTCCGAATTTTGGGTCTAGTCAGGCCAGGATCTCTACCAGAGTCTTTCCAAGGTTCTCATTACAATACATTAAGTTTAATCATTTGTTTGTCTTACATGTCTTAGAATATTTTTTTTTCTATTTTTTCCCACTTTATTTATCACTAACTATCGCTTTTAGAAAATAGCTAGTGATAAATAATTGTTAGTGAACTTTTTGAAAGACAATTGAACAAGAGATCCAAAAATAAGTTAGAAATATTCTCATTGGAAACTGCTCAGAGGGTAATAAAGGCATAGTGCTCTCTAATTATTTTTATTGCATTCGAAATATACTTGGATCATGTCTGTTAACACATTAGCATCCATGATTGACACCAAAAAATATAAAAACAGTAAGAGAAAATGTAAACTATAAAAGATTGGTTTGTAGAACTTGATCAATTTTCTTCCCAAAGTGGATGTTTTATAGTTTTAAACAGTAAGTAATATTAAAGTCAACTCCACAAATCGATAAATTTTATTTAGTTAAGTTGGAACATGTTTCGGCACCCTTGCGCCATCATCAGCCATGGAAAATTGTTACACTTTAAAATAAAAAATAAAAAATTTACAAGATTAAAAAATTTAAATGTTCACTGTTAATTTTTTTCCTGATTATCACAAAAACAAACAAAATTTGTTATTATCGTTCTTCAAAAATTTTCACGGGCGAGGCTTCAGCTTCACTGACCTCGTCCTTTTACTTTTTTACAGAGGAATAATGTTTAAATCCTATTCCTTCTGTATATTTTTCTATTTGTGATAATCAGGAAATTTTTTTAACAGTGAACATTCAAACTTTTTAATCTTGTAATTTTTTTATTTTTTATTTTAAAGTGTAACAATTTTCAATGGCTGATTATGGCACGAGGGTGCCGAAACATGTCCCAAATTGACTAAATAAAATTGATTGATTTGTGGAGTTGACATTAATATTACTGACTGTTTAAAATTTGTTTATCAACATTACTCGATATTATTTTTTCCACTGCCTACTTTAATAAATATATTAATTGGGGAATATCTCACTAACGGTTGGTTTTGGGCATATGGTACAAAAACTTTTCAAAAGACAACTAAACAAAGAATCCAAAAGTGGTAAAATATACAGGGCTGTTCCATTTAAAAAATAAAAGTTCACTTCCGGTGAAACAGGAGACAGCATTATTGAGCACCTATCCCAAACCGTGGACGACAAAAAACTGCTCAACTTTGTTTTCAGAAGTTTTGTCATATCTTTAGAAATAATGGAGTTATAGTTTGGGGGCGTTTTTCATAATGCAGTCTATATACTGGAAAATTAAACAAGTTATTGAAGAAATACAGAAAAATATTGGAAATACAGGAAATATTGTTTTGACGTTATTAAAACCATACTTAAGAAAAGGACATTGTTATTCGTCGACAATTGGTATACAAATCCACATCTTTTTTTGTATTTGCATAATAACAAAACTAACGCTAAAACTAACAGACTCCCAGTGCTGCACTGGGTCTCTGTAACCAATTAGCAACTGCTACGATACGCTAATTTGTTATTACTTTCGCTACTTTCAAATGCTAACTCTGTAATGTTGATTAAGTGCGCTATGCGTTGCTACGATGTCAACCGATCGATATTTGTTGTTAATTCGGCTGACAGCAAAAGTTTGACCGTGTTAACTCTTTGGTTTAAAAATTCAAGAAATAAATATTTTAACTCAATAAATAATGAATACAGGTAAGTACTAAATTTATTTAAAAATCCTTAAGGTCCGATTTGTATCTTCTCAAAATTCAGTTCCTCATTTAAAAGTTACTTTGTTCATTAGGGCAAAACAAAATTTAGAGTATCAAAAAGTCTAAAACGGAATTAAAAAATAGTATATTATAATACAAGTGTATAAGCAAACCTTTAAAGCACGCACGACGAGCTTAAAAGCACGAGGCGAAGCCGAGTGCCTTTTAACGGAGTAGTGCTTTAAAGGCACTTATACAAGTGGATTATACGCTATTTTTTATTATACCTGCACGACAGTCTAAAAATTATAAAAATGAAATTGAAATCCCTTTTTCGAAGTAAGTCGTGCCATTAATCGTTGCTGCAGAAATGGTTAAGAATTGTTTTGTTTCGTTGATATTTACATTTTTCACTATTTTGTTGATTTGAGAAATGTGTGTTGTGAATCATAAAATGACCGAAAACGAGGATAATTCATCTGTAATTAGACTGTTAGCTGAACAAGCCGAACAGAGGTTAATTCCCGAGAAATCTAAAGAAGCGTATGTCAAGGAATACGAAAAATTTTCCAAGTGGATGATCACGACAAACCAGACGGTGATAGATGAAACATTAATGCTTGCATATATGAATCAAATGGTAGGTAGCAATTAATTATTAAAAACAGCAATCACTTAAGGAAGTTTCATTATAGTCAAGCCATTACAAGTCATCATCAATGTGGTGCATCCACTCCAAACTGCAAACGATGCTGCGAATCAAACACGGGGTGGACATTGCTTCTTTTCATAAACTACATGCGTTTATGAAAAGCACCAACAAAGGACATGAGGCTAAAAAGTCTTGGGTGTTTACAGAAGAGGAACTACGCAAATTTTTCGTTACAGCACCTGACGATACCTTTTTATTTTTGAAGGTTTGTACTGATTTGACAGTTTTCACAAAATGTTGTCAGTAATATTTCTAATTTCAGGTTGTAGCTATTTGTGGGATTTTTGGCTCGTGCAGGAGGCAAGAAATGTGTGACCTACGCTTGTCGGATATTAAAGAAAAAGGGTCTATTTTGCTAATTACTATTCGACCATGTAAGACTGAAAAAGGTAGAAATTTTGCTGTAATTGATGATTCTGAGATACCATACCTTCAAATTTTAAAAAAATATCTTTCACTGCGGCCAGATCAGGTGTCCACGGATAGAATGTTCTTAAAATACAGCAAAGGCAAATGTATCAGGCTGGTTGTCGGAATGAATACTTTTGGTCAATGTCCGTCTCTTGTTGCGACCTATCTAAAGCTTCCAGATGCTAAAAAATACACAGGCCACGCGTTTCGACGGACTTCTGCAACAATCATGGCAAATATTGGAATGAGCGTGGATGAACTTAAACGACAAGTTGGGTAGAAGTCTTCAACGGTGGCAAATTCGTATGTTGAAGAGTCTACCACGAATAAACTTTGTGTGTCAAGGCGCATTATTGGGGCAGTAAGTGGAAGTAATACTATTACATCTGTGGCTCCAAAAAGGAATGTATGTGAAACAGCGCAATGGGGGGGGTCTTCTACTAGTTTAAATAATAACGATGTAATTAAACGTTCCGGGTTACAATTTTCAAACAACAGTAATTGTACGATTCATGTGTATTTTAATAAATAAATAAATTCGTTCGTGTTAGCATTATCTAAATATCTAACTAAATTTATTGTTACTATGGCAACTTTAAAGCACTAGAGCTTTAAAGGCCCCTTTATGCACGCTTTTGCGAGTTTTAATCAGTGATTATGATGCAGGTATAATAAAAAGTATATTTTGGATGATCTAATGCGTACATTCTATAATAATTTTAAAATTACTTCCAGATGCTGAAAAAAACGAGGGCCAAGGATGAACAAAAATCATCAAACTGTGATGATTGACTTTATTGAAAAGCATCCTGAAGTGCTCACAAATTCATTTGCTAGCCTAGATGCACGACAAAAATATTGTCAAAAATGGGATGAACTAACTGCTTTTTTAAATGCGTTGGGCGCTGGAGAGAAAAGTGTAAAAAAATGGCAACGTGCACTTACGGATTGGCTGTGTAAGATAAAAGTCAAATGTTCAAAAATTAAGGAACATAAAAATAAGACTGGAGGTGGACCCCAATCACAAATTCATTTAACGGAATTGGAAGAAAGATGTCTTTAAAAGGCTGGAGGCGATAAGATTACGAAAGAATTTGGATTGCGTGAAAATAGGCAAGAAAATATTCTCCAAAAAACGTCTCTTATACAAATGAGACTTTTGTGACAAAATCAGCATGAAGTTACTGGAAAAGAAGATTGTAATTTACGTGTAGCCGATATCGCAAAAGCTTCTACATTACAAAACCAATCTAAATCACTCGATTTTTCATTACATCAGACTCATCAGAAAAATGTTGAAATTACTGAACAAAACTTTCTTGAAGGAGAAAGATTTGATAAGCAGCCTAGTTATGCTTCTACGTCACAGGAAGAAACTTTTTTAAGAAAGGTCATCTTTTGATCCACCAGCTAAACCGTTATAAAAAAAAAATTAAAGAAACTTTTAAAGACAAAGAAAATAATATTTTAGTTACCCAACATCGTAAGACAATGAAAGTTTTAACGGATATAAACGCTAACATTGCGGGGGTAAACGATAACATTGCGAGGGGTGTCACTGTGCTTGAAAATGTATTTCAATATCTAGTTGAACAAAGAAATTCAAATTAATTGTAACTTTTAATTTTATTCAACTAGTAATATAGTCCGGGCAAGTTAGTAGGTTATAATAGTTCCCATAAACTTGAAAATTAGTACGATTGTTGGGAACCCCATTATAAAAGAAATGTAAAAAGTCCCCATCGATCCCACACCTGCAAAAAAGTTATTCAAGGTCAAAAGTTGCGAAAATGGGTTTTTTGCATTTTTCAGCCAAATGGCTGTTTTATCATAAAAATCAGACAAAAATTGTAGAGCATGCAATTCTCATACATGAGTTCCATCGATTGCTCCAATTACCCCTGGGAAGTATTTTTTCCATAAATCGTCTTTTAATTAATTGTTTTGTCTCAAAAGTTGTAGGAAATACAATCCATTCCGCAGCCAAGTGATTATATGTGGCATTAGTTACCATACAAATGGCTTTACTCATCGATTGTTGCGACATTCCCAAAAATCGTCCTTCTCCCAGTGGTCGCTGATAAGTACCGGTAGCACAAAATGCTAATGTAGCAAGGATGGCCGAAACTGGATGAATAGCAGTACTTCTTTGTGGTTGATGTAAATGGATGTTTAATTCTTCTGCCAAAGAATGGAGTAAATCTTTGGTCAATCTGAAAAAATCAGTAAACCTTTCATTTGTTAAATTAAAAGGGTTACTTGTATCTCGTAACAGTCTCATTTCAACTCTGTTTATACGTATTTGTTCTCTTCTACTTTCATGAAAAATTATAAATCTTCTAAAAGGCAACAATTCAAAATTTTAATTTTTGTCAAAATTATGTCAAAATTAGCTGCATCCAATTATGAAAACAAAAATTTCACTAAAATAGCGGGTTATCAATTACTAAATGACGAACATATCCGAACGACTTAGGAATTTATTTTGATAGTTCAGAAGTTGATATGCTATTCTAATAGCTAACGTTAGCGTAGCAATTAGTGAGAAAATACATGGTCCTAGCACCCCTGATACTGCAGAGGAAAATAGAAAAGGTATGCCAACACTGAATCAGAAATTGGAGCGACGAAAAGTAATATAAGAATAGAAGAATAATATAAGAATAGAACTAAAGTGACAAGATAAGAGAGAAGTGAGAATGCTCACAACAATGTACGATAGTGAAGTGATCGGTACATAAAGAAGAAAAGACAACCACATTGCATAATCGACTACAACCAATATGTGGGCGCAGTTGATAAGACGGACATGATGCTTGGTACAACTGAATGTGTGCGCCACACGATGAAATGGTACAAAAAAGTATTCTTTCATTTAATAGATATATCTCTTTTAAATGCACATGCCCTCTACCAAGTTGCTACGGAGCAAAAAAATACCTTGACTCAGTTTCAACATTGAATAATCGGAGAAATTCTAGAAAAGTACCACAAACCAATTTACAGTTTTTACCCAAGAAGAAGAGTATCAAGTTCTGACAACACATTATGTTTAACGAGTCGCCATTTTCCGTCACTGGAAGAAAACAACAAGCGAAAAGCAGTGTCTGCTGAGTGTAATGTGAGACTATGTTTAATTTCCTGTTTGAAGAATTATCACACAATTAATAATTATTAAGTTATTGAATAAATGAAATAGGATATTCCAAAGAATAAGCAAATACCTACCCCGGTAGTATACCAAATTAAGTATACTTTCCTTATTCCCACCGTCTTCCAAACAAATAATTACACTAATAATTAAAATTAATTAGCGTATTCCAATAACTGCATATTCCATTTGGAGATAGCTATAAAGAATCTTCTTAAGATAGAAAATTTGTTTCTATATTTAAAAAAACTGAATATAATTTATATCATAGTGAATTCAGTTTTTCATAGGTACCGACAGTCGGTCTTTATAAAGTTGGTTAAAGAGTGATATCAAATAAACAAAAAAAAAATAGAAACAACAACCAATAACATAAAAAAAACACCGACCGATTTTATTTCATGGAAAATGTCAATTAAAAAAAAATTGTTTTTGGTATTGCTGTCCTTCCTCTTTTGTGAATTTATACTCGTATTCTGTAACATTTCCAAACAGTCTTTTGTGCAGTTAGGCCTTTGTCTAGATTTTTGTAGTGTTCGTGGATATTTCTAGTTGTGTAATTATTTTGAGTTTATTAGTGTTCTATAGTTTAATGAAAGTATACAGGGTGATTCACATAACTTTACGACCCTGACGAACTTTAAACGCAACCCATTAAACTTTATTCATTTCTAACTTGATACTCTTAGCTATGTTTAATTAGCATGAAATCCAGACACCCCTGACATAAATGACAATTATAATTGACAATTCGTTTTTGTAAAATTTCAAAATTTTTTGTTGATTATAGTTGTTTATTCGACGAGTTTAAGTGTAAATCGGACTCTTTATTTGACTGAGTGGATTTTTAAACCACGAGTGTAACGAGTGGTTTACCATCCACGAGGTGAAATAAAGCGTCTGATTTACACTCAAACGAGTGGAATACAACATTTTATTCTTCGAATTAGAGTCAACAAGGCTTAAACTTGCTTTAAGTCTGTTAAAAATAATTTGACGTTTTGTATTGAGAAATGCCAAACAGTTGTCAAAACTTCCTTACACGGGAGAAAAACCGTAAATTTTGACAGTGTCGAAGAATAAAAAATGTATTCTAATGACGGAAGGGTCGACATGATATTGATTTATGGTGAGTGTCAGAAGAATGCAGTAGCAGCCGAAAATTTGTACCGGCGCCGGTATTCCAATCGTAGGCATCCGACAGATAAAATTTTTAGACAATTGGAAGTTGAACTACGCCTAAATTGGCCAAAACAAAAACACCATATGAGCCAATTTCAAGTTGAGTTACAACCGGCGCAAATCTAAGTTGACATAGCAACGGCGCAGTGCAAAGATGCGACTGTCGCTTCCTGATTTCAAGTTAAATTTTGGCGTTATTTTACAACCTCTCACTGCGACACCTTTTTAGCAGTTGCAACGATTTGCGACCCCACGTGATTTGTCAAATTTTAAGCAAAAATGGCGGCCGTGAGACAAGCTTTGGCTGCTTTGGCCAACGATTTGCTTGAAAATTCGAGTGAAAGTGAAAATAGTGATAACAAAGAACAACCCGTGACAAGTCGTGTGAAATCAGCCATAGATTTCAGCCACAGGTTCATGATGTAGAGGAAATTTCACATGAAATTTTCGTGAAAAAGAGTTTTGATAACGCACGTAATTTACTACCAATGACTTGGTTAGTAAATGATTTTATAAAGAAGAGAATAGTGAACACAAGGGTTTTACTTGCAAACTAACCCTTTGATAGCAACAACCCTTTCAGAAGTCCTAGAAATTATTGTTTTAAGAAGAATTAATTCCGATCTCAGAAAATAAAACGGTTTACACGAAATAATTTCTTATTTTTAATTGAATAAAACTGACTAATCAAAGTTTCTTGCAAACTCACCCTTTAACCTAGTCACAACCCCGGTCTTAGAAATTATTTATTTTTGAAGAATTCCGATCTGAGAAAGCAAAATATGTAAAACCGGAAGAAAGAGAATTTTGAGTAAAAGACTCTTGATGTCTGATATTTTTTTTTATAAAAACCGTAACGAAATAATGTTGCTGTTCTTTTCGTTTATATTTTTTTTGATAGCGGTTCACAGAAGAGATCACGTTCTATACGCTGTACCTTTGAAGATAAACAAAAGAAACTAAGCATTTGTTTATTTTGGTTTCAAACCGAATTCGCTGAATATATTTGTTGTTATCAGAATTGGAGTAACGGCCAAATGAGTGTTTAGCTTAGCTTTTAATTTTTTATTTCAGTTAGGTGTTCGTTGTTTCATTGGTTGGATGACTTTCTTCTAGCAAGAGTTGCATGCAAAATTTGTGCTTTTTCATAGTTTAATAAAAGTAGATGGTGAAGTGGGTGTTATTCTGTGCAGACTTCTTCCTTTATCCGCAAGCTGCTTCTTGTTTTTTGTGTTGCAAAATTCATAGCCTTATTTGCATTTATTTGCTATTTTTATTTAGGTATTTAGGTACCTCGACAAATATTTACTGCGTAAAAATATTTTATAATAAATATGTACAAAAAGAAAAAATACGGTAACAATTTTAATAAAACAAGCCGATTGCGAAAAATATATAATGTCATTAAAAGTGAGGCTCCCGAATTTACATTTGATCCTTTAAAGAGTTTAAAAGCTGAAAGTCCCTTTTTACAAAAAAATTGTCTGAAATGTCATGAGTTTCCAAGTGTAATATTTCGTTTAGTTCAAAGAAATGTATGTTTTTTTTGAAAAAATGTTTATTTAATAAGGAAATGAATAAAAAGAAGGAAAATGTCGATTTACTAGGATTCATGACTACGACCCATGATATTTTGCCAAAGATGGATAAAAACAAAAATACATTTTTGTCATCCAATGAAATTGATTACATAATTTTTGACGACGAATGTTATCAAAATTTTGAGAAATCGTTAGAAAATAAAATTAATTTAAACAAGGAAATAGTTTCAATGCCTAAAAAAATGTTTTTGAAATGCCTAAAATAATTAACTTGCAACATAATTCAGATAATTTTGGTCACAATATAACGGATGAAAATGGGCAACACAATTCAACCAGTTTTATTTATAATGTGACGGATGAATTTGAAGACATTCCAAGTGAATTAAAAAATGTTTTAAATGCCCAAAACAATTTTTGTGAAATTCTGCCAAAAGATTCTTGTAACATAAATCAAAATTGCAACCAAAAACCTTCTTACAGCGATTGTCACATCAAAGAAGGCAAATTAAATAGAGAGCTTTTCAAAGTCGTAATTTACAATTCAGGTAACGCTTTTAATCACTTTACATACAGGTACGTGATAAAACAATTGACAAAAAAATGTAAACAACACTTGCATTCTAAATTTTAAGCATTAATTTTATCAAAAAACTCACGATAAAATGAAAATTTGCGCTCGTTGTGGCTTCGCAGATTGTAAATTATTTGTTATATACGAGTATATTGAAAATGCTTCTAAACTTGACAATGAAGAGCATAATGTTTCTATCTTCAGTTCATCGTTTAACTATAATCACTTTGGTAAATTAACCAGTTACGTTTCTGGAATTGAAAGATCTTTAGCAAGAAATAATAGTGCAAATGAAACCGTCTTTGAAAAGAAAAAAATATATTTTAGCATTACCTTCTGTAATTGTCAAAAGTGGAAATTTAGGTGACGTTAAATCTGATTCAGTTTACAGAAAAATTCGATCAGAGCATTTTTCGAAAAATAACAGAGCTGCAGATGACGTTTATGACATGGTGTTAATGCAGAGAAAAAACGCACATTATATTCATTCTGTTTCTGAACCTTTTAGTGTATACATATTCAGTAATGAACAACTTGATTTAATATGTAGTCAACCCCACATTTACCAGTAGTTCATATTGATGCAACAGGGTCTATTAGAAAACCAAGGAATGATTTAAAAAGAGTTTATTATTACGCAGGTGTTATACAATTAAAATTTAATGATCGCCTATGTCCAGTCACAGAGATTATCACATCACAACATTACTGTGGTTCTATAGGGATTTGGTTAACAAAATTTAAAATATTTTGCTTCCAAAAAGGAAAAAAAATGGCCACTATTTTCAAAAGTAGTTACCGATTTCAGCTTTGCTTTGTTAAATGCAGTGAGCAACTTCTGGAATAATATCACCCTTATAAAATATATCAATATTACTTACGATTTTATAAAAAATGAGAAACCAATTCTAGCAAACATTATTGTGACTCAAATATGTTGTGTACACTTTTTTTATATTTATGAATTATATGTGTAGACATTGATAAATATGCTAAAGAGAATATTTCTGTTCAGTTAAAAGAAATTATGACATCTGTTTTTGATTTTACAGACATTGCAACAATTGAAAATTGGTTTTTAAATTTAGCTTTCGTACTAAATTCTCCCAATAATGACAATATGACAAAACTTTGATTTCACAATTTAATTAATATGTGTTGTTCAAAAACTTTTTTTCCAAATTCCCATGAAACTGAAACAGATATTTTAAACATAAATAACTCTAATGGAATTGATCATAATGATCAATGTGATACGCAATACAAAAAAAGTGAATACTACAAATATTTTTATTCATTATGGAAATCCGTAGAATCTAAGATCGATTGTGGTACGACAAATCAAGACAAATCCTTTTTATAATGTAGTTTTTTTTAAATTATTCTAAGTAAGTACATACCATATTTGCCTTTACGGACAAATCTTGTAGGTAATCAACGAATAAGTAATGCTTCAGTAGAAAGAGTTTTTGAAATATTAAAAGATATTGTTTTATTTAATGTTAAACAACAAAAATGTAGTCACGTTGTAAGAAAAATTCGGCAATTACTGTCTCTTCACATAAAGAATTTAAATTAAACATTAAAAGTACTGGTTGTGCTCGTAATCGATCATCAGGCTTACTGTTAGAGAAAGAAATGTGGAAAAAAAGAGCGAGCCTCATAAAACAAATCGTTTTAAAAAGTTCTGTTTAAAAAGAATTTTAGACAATACTAAACAACAACGAAACAAAGATAATTTAGAAGTGACTCTTGAAAAAAGTAATTTTACAAGCAACTTAAATAAACAATTTGACAGATTAAAATGTTTATATTGCAATGAAGGGCCTTTAAATGTGACAACAGATTGGTTGCAATGCGATATTTGTGACGGTTGGACTCACCAACAATGTGATTCAAATATTCCTGAGAAAACTTACAGCGGAAGTTTTGTTTATAAATTTTGTAATTCAATGGACAAAAATTATAATTTTGCCATATTTTCATATACCTTCAATTGACGTTGATTTGGCAACAAAATGTATAAAATATTTAAAATCATTATCCGTAATTGACAAAAAATCGGTTGAACAAAATTCTAAAAGCCAACGTAATAGTTCGACTTAGATTATAGAGAGAGGTAAACGTTTAACTGCTTCTAATTTTGGACGTGTTTGTTCCGCAAAAAGTAATCATACTTTAGTAAGTATTTCTAAGTCGCTTTTGTATCCTATTGATAATTGGAAAAAACGGAAGCCCTTTACATGGAATAGCTAATGAAAAACATGCAATTGTCTTATATGGAAAAAAAAAACAATTGTGTAGTGTTTGCTTCTGGTCTTCACATACATGAAACATTTTCTTATTTGAGAGCCTCACCTGATGGTTTAATAGAAAATGATGGAATAATAGAAATTAAGTCCGTACTCAATCAGAAACAGGAAAATTGAAGAAGTAATTGCATCTAAAGAGAGATTAAAAAAATTACCATATTTGAACAAAGACGGCACATTGAAAATTAATCATCAGTATTATTTTCAAATTCAAGGTCAATTAGAAATAACAAACAGGATTTGGTGTGATTTTGTAATATACACGTATAAAGGAACATTTTGTAATAGAATTACGAGAGACAGTTTTTTGGCAAAACATGTTTCCAAAATTAAAACATTTCTACTTTTATTATTTACTGCCTATTCAGGCAGTAGATCCAGTAGATAGCAAAAATTTACGAAAACGTTATTGGAGTTCAAAAAAATCGAAAACAATTTTAGATTTACATTTTCTTAACAATGGGCTAGTTGATAATACCAAATATTACAATAAACTAAACACTAACAGAAACTACGTTGTCACATTACACCATGATTTACCAGTTAATGTCAATAAAGTTATAATTGAAGAATTTTTAATAGCAGGAAGTCCTGTAGCATGGTATTCAAATTTCCTTATTGATATTTTGCTTTATATTTTAAATAAACGTACAAATCCATCCAGTCAGTTTAATATGATACAAGTAACTTTGATAAATTTAATAAATTTGAATAATTCTACTAAATTCAAATTAAAAGATCAAAAAGTAAGTTTGGATTTGACTATTATTTTTCCAATTTTATTATATAATAACCACAGGGATCTTGGAATTGCAAATGTACAAAAAAAAAAAGAATTTACATTTTTGAATCAATTTGGAGACAACTTCAGTGAAATCAGTTTTGTATTTGAAAAATTTTTATTTTTTCTAAAATCTTACAAAGAATTAAATGAGTTAATAGATGATACAAACTGGACTATTAATCAAACATTTTTTACACAAAGGGTCAAACAAACAGATGTAACAATAGAAATGACTTTCAAAAACCTGACTGGACAAAATACAGACACGAATTGCAATATTTATTGCTTAACAATTCTAACAATATGTCCAATATTTGCCTATTTTGTGGTGACATGGATGAGAAAAATAAACCGAATAACGATACGTATGTAACTTGTATAAATTGTCAAAGGTACATTCACAAACATCCATCCAAATTTTAATCAAGAAACAAATTTTTATATTTGCGAGCTTTGCATTAACTTTGCTCTTTGATTGATATCTTTTTATTTTTTTTTTGTGTTGCCTTATTAGGATTACTGTAGAATATATTTTTTAGTTTTATACATTTTATTTCTTGTTAGTAATTAGTTGTTTGCTATTTTACTGAATGTATTAAATGCAGAACGCTATTTTACTTTTATATTGTTTTATTTTTGGTAATGAGAATTAGAAGTATTTTTTAAGTTTTTGACATTATATTTTGTTTTGTTTAATTCTTAGAGTAGATATGTATTTGTTTGTTGCATGTTTGTATGTGCATGACCCTCTCAAGAATTAGTGCCTTGTCGTGGCGAGAGGGCTTAAGGAATATGTTGAAAATTATTAAAAAATAATGGATCAAGTTGGTATTAAAAAATAGTTTTTAATTAATACTAATTACCTAATTCGACAAACAACATATTCCAACCAAACTAATTCACCAGTCATAAGATCAATTTGATGAAAATACCTAGTCAAATAATATTCTTGTTTTTAGTTTTGAGTGAAAATTTTTGTTACCGTAGCTGTTCGTTTTTTGTTTGTTAGGAAGATACAGGAACTTTTTGACAAACAAAATTTAGTAATTTAGTTTACTAATATTTTTAATTGTTATGTTGTATTATGTGTTCGTTCTTTCCCGATTGTATCCAATTGTGTCATTATTAATAAAATCATACTGGTTAGTAAAATTTATGAAAATAAATCACACTAATCTGTATTTATACATTTTTTTTACATCATCTCTAATCTTTTTACCAATCCATCTTGTTTAATTTAAAATTTAAACCAAGGGTTGTGCATTTGTGGTTACGTTGACTTTGCAGGCAAATCCCACAAAACAGATTTGCTCAATGTTTAAGAAAGGCTGTGTTAAAGGGTCAGTAAGTTTGCAACTAAAATTGATTAATATTCAATAAAAAATAAAAAAGTCGTATGAGACGTTTTGCTTTGTCAGATCGGAATTCCTCAAAAATATATAATTTCTAAGATTGGGGTTGTGACTAGGTTAAAGGGTGAGTTTGCAAGAAACTTTGATTAGTCAGATTTATTCAATAATAAATGAGAATTTTTTTCGTATACAGCATTTTATATTTTCAGAATTCTTCAAAAATTAATCATTTCTTCGATAGGGGTTGTGACTAGGTTAAAGGGTGAGTTTACAAGAAACTTTGATTAGTCAGTTTTATTCAATGAAAAATAAGAAATTTTTTCGTATAAAGCATTTTGCTTTCTCAGATCAGAATTCTTCAAAAATACATAATTTCTAAGACCGGGGGTGTGGCTAGGTTAAAGGGTGAGTTTGCAAGAACCTTTGATTAGTCAGTTTTATTCAATGAAAAATAAGAAATTTTTTCGTATAAAGCATTTTGCTTTCTCAGATCAGAATTCTTCAAAAATAAATAATTTCTAAGACCGGGGGTGTGGCTAGGTTAAAGGGTGAGTTTGCAAGAAAATCTGATTAGACAGTTTTATTAAATAAAAGATAAGAAATGTTTTCGTATAAAGCGTTTTCTTTTCTCAGATCGGAATTCTTCAAAAATAAATAATTTCTAAGACCGGGGGTGTGGCTAGGTTAAAGGGTGAGTTTGCAAGAAACTTTGATTTGTCAGTTTTATTCAATTAAAAATAAGAAATTTTTTCGTATAAAGCATTTTGCTTTCTCAGATCGGAATTCTTCAAAAATAAATAATTCCTAAGACCGGGAGTGGCTAGGTTAAAGGATGAGTTTGCAAGAAACTCTGATTAGTCAAATTTATTTAATGAAAAATAAGAAATTATGTCGTATAAACCGTTTTACTTTCTGAGATCGGAATTAATTCTTCTTAAAACAGTAATTTCTAGGACTCCTGAAAGGGTTGTTGCTATCAAAGGGTGAGTTTGCAAGTAAAATCCTTGTGTTCACGTGTGTTCTCTTCTTTATAAAATCATTTACTAACTAAGTCATCGGTCGTAAATTACATGCGTTAACAAAACTCTTTTTCACGAAAATTTCATGTGAAATTTCCTCTACGTCATGAACCTGTGGCTGAAATCTATGGCTGATTTCACACAAATTCCGTGACACCATACTCTATCAACGACATTCCGGAGACGCTACTTTTTCAACGAACTCGTCTTGATAGAAACGTCTTTAATTATGTCTTGCAGATCATTTCGCCGGCTTTGTTGAAGAACACTAAAAAGGGGCGTTATTCTTACTTGACCCCCATGCACAAATTGTATGTGGCTCTGCAGTTTTATGCCACTGGAACATACCAGTGGATGGTAGGCAGTAGCAGTCGCATTTCTGAAGGTGCAACGTCGAAAGCCATTCACGAAGTGACGACAGCTTTAGTCGAGGTAACCCCCCAGTTTATTCGTTTTCTAACGGTACCAGAATACCCCGCCGTATAACAAGTATTTTATGCTTTCGGAATGAGGCGACATAATGCGGGTTTTCCAAATGCAAATGGGTGCAATTGATTGTACCCATATCAGAATACAAAAACCTTCCACCGATGCTCCAGAACAATACCTAAATCGTCATTTATATTATTTTATCAATGTACAGCTGGTGGTAAGTTCTAGTTTGAAAGTATTAAATGTTTTTCCTGGTTCAAACCATGACTCATTCATCTGGAGAAACTCAGCTGTACAAAACGTGATGTCTGCAGGAAATTTCCCGGAAGGCTTGTGGGAGACTCAGGTTATCCGCAAGAACCGTGGCTCATGACACCCGTTACAGTTCCAACAACTCAACAACTGTACAATGCAGTTCATATTTCTACACGAAATCCTGTAGAAAGAACAAATGGTGTTCTTAAAAGTCGATGGCATGTTTTAGATTCTCCTCTTGCCTACAGTCCGTCCATGGTTTGTTCCATAACGACAGCCTGCTGTGTACTCCACAACATCTGAACGGAGTACAACCTGGAGGTGGAGGATTTTCAGGAATATCCACTCCATGACGACTTGCCATTTCAAGGACCACAAAACCCCGGACATAACCACGTTAGAGAAAACCTTATTAGACAACATTTTACCCGATAGCGATGTTTTAGTAATTTTAATGTAAGAATTACTGTACACAACACATTTGAAAACTTTTTCCCATTAACTACCAACTAACAATCTCTCCCAATCAATTCAAACCTAGTCCTTTTCCTATCCCGGTGGGAACTTGCCAACCTCTCCGTGGTCCCATTAGATATGTCAATGATTAAGTGGAAATAACAAAATTGGCAAAAATTTACACCATCATTACACATTTGATAAATCAGTGAGTTTGAATTGAAACAAATTTTTTTTTCAAAACAGCTTTATTTATTTTTCAATGTAATCTCCTTTAAGCTCTATACACTTGGCCCACCGTTTTATTCTAACTTTTTTATCCCTTCCAAAAAATTACTTTTCTCAAAGCCTGCAAAATAGGTATTAGTTTCGGCAATCATTTCTTCAGTTGTGTCGAATTTTTTCCCGCTGGCACATACGACACCCGACATACTCTTGTTTAAGACGACGCCACGCACTTTCTGTTTGACAGATCTACAATAAGAAAACCAACCTGTCCATTTCGACCATGTAGTGGGAAGAAAACCTTGTCCAATTCCAAGCCCCAACCCAAGCAAGAGCCAAAATCCAAGCCCCAACCTAAGCAAATGCCTACATCCCACCCACCCAAATTCAAACCCCAGCCATCAATTCCCCGAAAACACCCCCCGCTAGATCAGCCATTAAATAAATTTGTGCTGCTGCTGCTATGCAGCCCCCGAAGAAAATCTAAATCATTTTTGATAATAAACCAACCCAGCTTCTCCAGAAAGGGAGATTAAAATTTATAAATAAACCAGGAAATAACAAACCCATTCCGGTCGGCACACCAGAAACCGACCTAAGAGATTTGCAAGCGCTACGACCACCGGGAGTGACTAAACGCATACCAATACTGGTATGCCAAAACGACAAACTTCGGTGGATTAAACTACCAGCACTTAAGAGTTTCACCCCATTTAAATAAGTCACTTTTCTAGAAATATGTGTAGCATATTTTCGAAACAATTAATCAATTAAAAAGTGTAAGAATTCGTTGGATAAACATTATGATGTGTCTGTGTTTTATTTTAAAGAACTGCCAGAAATAGACCAATGAGAGGTACACCCAGATAAATGGATCAAAGTATAAAACAAAGTGTTTGTTTTGTTACTATGGGAATACCTAGTGTGACGTCAGTGAAGTACGTGACTGTACCTTTGAAGCTACACTAATAAACATACTTTGTTACCAATGCTTTTCGTATGGACGTAAAAAAAGTTTATTTCTGGAATCCTGGACGTATAGGGAGATTATGTTTCCAAGGAAATAGTTGCTATGAAAAATGTGTGTCGTTTCGTAATAGTTTTAACAATTGTAYTCAACATTTCTGTAAGTTAATCTGTTCTAACCCCACTTTTTCTGTAATGTGTACTTTAAAGTGTGTTTACAGAGTTGCCAGAATGTTGCAAACGACAGAGTGGCTAGGTCGTACCAAGACAAAATAAAAAGTATCAACATTCACATAATGTGTATTTGGCTGAGAATATAAATTATTATTTGTTTACGAGTAAATATAAATATCTAGTAAAAAAAACTAGTATCATTTTGGTACTATAGTATCACAACTGGCAACACTGTATGTTTAGCTTCAGTACAGTCGCGTCTGTGACGTCACGTCTAATAGCGCGTATGCTATGCGTATATAAAGGAGAACGGGCCGCCACACCGGCAGCTGTCGTCGTTCGCAGCGTCGAACCGACATTACCGAAGCCGACATAACTTCTCAAAACCCCTCGCTGAAAATTAACCGCCTATTCCGTATATTCTCCAAAAAAACAAACCGTCCCACTCCCTTAATCCGTATTATCTCCGACGACAAGCCCACCATCGACTACCTTCTCACCCAAGGCATAACAATCTTTTCCCGCATTTATGAATGCGAAGTTTCACACCCTCCTCTCCCAACTCCACTCCAATGCACCAAATGCTTCCAACTTGGCCACAACCCCAATGACTGCCCCAACAAACCRATCTGCCCCAAATGTCCCGAATCACATCACCCATCCAAATGCCAAGCCACCGAACCCAAATGCCCCTTTTGTAAAGGCCCCCATCCCGCATGGTCCCGTCAATGCAAAATCATTCAAGACGCCCCCATTACCGAAAATACTCCCTTTGWCCCTACAAAAATCATTGACCCCCCATCCGAATTCGACGACAGAGACATCGCAGAAGACCCTGACAGCCCCTATTCTGACCCCAACCCATCCCAAACGATGCTTAAACAAGTAATCGCTTTCCTTGCCAAAATCCTTTTCGACATTTTCCCGCTCCAAAAACCCCGCATGCAAGAAATCCTTGAACAAGCCTCAATGCATGCCTTTGACATTGTTACCAAAATTTCCCACTCCGGCCACCGCATCGTTTCTCTTTCAACTAACAATGGTAGTAAAATTTGCATGCGTCAACATTTGCGGCATTCGGCGCAAACTTCCCTTACTAAAAAACCTCACACTGACAACATTTCCATCCTAGCTCTTTCAGAAACCAAATACCCTAACCAAATTAACATTTCAAGCTACACTTCCTATCAAAATAATTCTCCAAACCCTACCTCAAAAGACGTAGCGCTTCTAATTTCAAACTCACTTGCTTCCTCACCACATCCACTACCCGCTCAATTCTCCCAACTTCCCTTACTAAAAAACCTCACACTGACAACATTTCCATCCTAGCTCTTTCAGAAACCAAATACCCTAACCAAATTAACATTTCAAGCTACACTTCCTATCAAAATAATTCTCCAAACCCTACCTCAAAAGACGTAGCGCTTCTAATTTCAAACTCACTTGCTTCCTCACCACATCCACTACCCGCTCAATTCTCCCAACTTGAAGCCGTCGCCGCCAACCTCTTTATTAACAACATTAACATACTAATAATTTCCTACTATAACTCCCCGTATGACCCTGTCTCACTTGACCTCCTAACCTATGCATGCCAACATCCCAATGCTATCGTCCTCGGAGATTTCAATGCCCGCCACACCGATTTCGGTGACTTTGCAATCAACCCCAACGGCCGCATCCTAAATTCCGTTCTTTTAAATCTCCCAATCTGCCGCCTCCACAACCCAACCCCCACATTTTTTAGTCACGCTGGTTGCTCCATCCCCGATCATATTCTTGTTTCAGAACGCCTCTACGCCCAGGTCAACCCACACGCCACAATTGGAACAACCGTCACTTCGGATCACTTGCCCCTCACATCCAACTTTCTCTTCGCCACCCCTCAGCCTCCCGAACAACCCGTCACCATCCACAACTTCCCAAAAGCAGATTGGCAAAAATTCCAAAATTACATTCTTGAAAACCTCCCAGAAACCGCTCCAACCATCATCCCCCACGTCATCGACACTCAAATCACCGAAATCTCCAACCTCATCATTGCCTCCAGAAACATCGCAATTCCAACAGCCACCATTCCCAAGTATCGCCCCTCCATCCCAGCCAACATCCTCAACCTCATCCGCGAAAAACGCCGCATTTTCCGTCAATTCCTCCAAACCTGAGACCCACTCCTCAAAACCCAATTTAACCGCCTGAACGCCCAAATCCGTCGAGACATCAACCAACACCGGGAAAATCAATGGACCTCCACCTGCCAACAACTAGACTACAGAGACGGTAAGAAATTTTGGAACAAATTCAAAACTTTGACTAAACAAAAACCCCAACAAATTTCAAACCTAACCTCAAACAACCGAATTATAACCGACCCGCATGAAAAAGCTAACCTCTTTGCCCAATCTTTGCATGATATCCACCAAATTCCTAACGAACCCACTTTCAACAACAACTTTTACCTCAGAACAACCAACAACATTAACAATTTCCGACGCCAACAACCCGAACCAAATCCTCCTCTCCCGCTCAACGACAATTTCCTCACCGACGAAATCACTCTTAATGAAATCAAATCTCACATTTCTAACCTCAAAAATTCTAAATCACCCGGCCCCGACAACATTAAACCCCAACTTTTAAAACACCTTCCTGAACCAGCACTTTTATTACTAACACAAATCTACAACAGCTGCCTAAACTCTCTCTATTTTCCCAAAGCATGGAAGCACGCTAACACAATTTTAATTCCTAAACCTAACAAAGACCTTACTAACCCTCTCTCTTATCGCCCAATCTCTTTACTAAACATTCTTGGAAAAATCTTTGAAAAAATTCTTAACAACAGACTCCGCTTTCTTCTCGAAACTAACAACCTTCTACCTCCCGAACAATTTGGTTTCCGACCCCACAGCAACACAACAAACCCAATCCTCGAACTTCACACCGACTCCTCTCGTTTTGCCAATCTTGGAGAGTGCACGGTCGCTGTCTTTCTGGACATCGAGCGCGCATTCGACAGGGTTTGGCACGACGGATTAATCCTAAAACTCCTAAGCCTCGACATCAACCCCCGATTTGTCCGCCTCATTGCTTCTTTTCTAACAAACCGAACCTGTAGTGTCAATGTCCAAAACGCTCTCTCAAACCTAATCCCCATTCGCGCAGGAGTCCCCCAGGGCTCCATTCTTTCCCCCTTACTTTACATTGTATACTGCAGAGATTTTCCAATTTCAGATCACCCAAGGACGAAAACTCGACTCTTCGCCGACGACACTGCAATCTGGTCATCCCACAAATCCCCTTRCGTCGCCGCCCARCGCCTCCAAACCCAACTCCGACACATAGAAAATTGGACCAACACCTGGAGAATCAAACCTAACCCKATAAAATCCCAATCCATCACCATGTCATACAGAAATTCAAGACGAGCKCGAACCCAACCCATCCAACTTCTCCTCAACAACCAACAAATTCCCCATTCAAAATCCATCAAATACCTTGGCATAACCTTTTCCCACACATGTTCTCTCGCCCCAGACATCCATGAAACCCTCAAAAAAGTCCGAAACCGAGCCAACCTCCTCTACCTAATCCGCGGCCGTCTTCACGGCTGCKGTCCAAAAACCCTTCTCCACACCTACAACTCATTCATCCGTCCCGTCATCGAATATCGTGCTCCAATCTATGCCTCRCTTCCCCCCAACCATCTCCTTCAAATAGCCGCCACCGAACGCCATATCCTCCGCAACATCTTCCGTCTAGATTTTCAATATCCCAGCCGCCTCATTCACACAACCACTCAAACCACTCCAATCACCGAACGCCTCACCAAACTCCAAAAATCCTATGTTTCTCGAACACTAAACAGTACAAATCAAATTGCCATCCAAACTCTCCACACCTCCTTCAAATATCCATTCACTAACCGTCTCAGCAACAGAATTCCAAAAGTTCCCAAACTAAAATACCGCCACCCACCCACCACTCTTCTTCAACCTTCTTACAATACCCTRCCACCCATTCTCCAGGAATTGATTGACGAAACTCCACTTTCTATGCGCTAACCTTTTCTCCTTCGACCAGATTGCAACGGACAACAATCAAGACCATCGCCCTCAGGACTCACCGCCCACACGAAGACAACATTTCTTAATTTTAATTTAGATTAACCTAGTATTAAGCTACAATATTTAAGAACCCCATGTTAGTTAGTTTAAGTCCATTTTGTAATATCTTAAGTAAAAATTAATTTTCACATGCTGAAAAGGCCCTAAGCCTTAGCAGCGTCTTTTTCCCCTGTAACCATAGATATAAGTTTTAAACTGTAAAACCAAACAATAAACGATTGTTAAATTGGAATTGCCACACCGGCAGATTCATTTGAGTCTCCTTCCGAACCTCTTCGGACGAATTCACTAAGACCCCTCTTGGTGGAATAACTTCAGGACCTCTTCTGAAGGACTGTGCTCTTTGGACCTCTTCAAAGAATATGGTCGACGGGACCTTCTTCCGTCGTTAAACCACAACTACCCCAGGACATCTTCTGGGAGCCGAGGTCATCACTAGACACGGACCACGGGATCTTTTCCGTGGTAAGGGCTTAACATCTGGGACTTCTTCCAGATGGTATAATTTCCTGGACCTCTTCAGGAAAACAATCGACGGGACTTCTCCCCTCAAATTCACCCGCGGAGGACCTCTTCTCCAAGGGCTAGGGTTCACTAGGTCCAAGTTAGAGTTTGTTTCGTAAAATTAATTGTTTTATATGTTGTTACTGTTGTTATGGTTACTAAATAAATTTCTCTTTTCAATCACCTGTCTTTAATTAAATCAAACCTCCCCATTCCTCTCAACTGTATAAAAGCTGGTCGGAAAGGCATTCTTATGTAGTGTAGACCTGGAAAACATCTCCAAATAGTTCTTTTCCAACTTTTAGGAAAAAGTCGGTGGCGCCCGGTTTAAATAAGTAAATAGTAAAAGAAAAGACATTACATAAATCCTCGTAGAAACAAAATTTAAATTTCAATTTTATATTTAAGTTCCTTCATCAAAAAATTATTTTTTTTTAATTTCAAAAGTCTTTAAACTTTGTTTACGCAGTTGCAGTTTGTTTTCTATCAGAGCTAAATTGAGCGGAAATATTTAACTGATTTGATTTTAGAATCCGATTAACCGACTGGCTAATCCCAATTTCTCTCGCAATTTGCCTCTGGCTTACATGTGGGTTATTGTCCACAGCTTCGATAGCTCTTATTTCGTTATCAGGATTCGTTGCAATCTGTCGTCTATCGGGCCAATTTCAAGTTCTGAGATACGACCGTTGCAAATTATTGTCGCAGCGCAACGTTGCACCCTCTCTGCGACCGCGAGATGCGGCCGATTTCAAGTTAATAAATTGCTACGTCGCTACGTGGTAGCAAGCTGCGTCAAATTTTAAATCTGAATTGACTTTTTGATTTGGTTTGTGATTTTGTGAAATGGAAAATCAAGCATAAGTATTTTTATAATAAAAAACAATGAATTAATCAATTATGATAAATATAGTAATCGAAAATAACCCTAATTATCGCTGTTGCTTTTTACAGAACGATTAAAAAATGCCGGTCCAAAAATTTTACTCCAACGGAGATTGAAATTTTAATTAATGAAATAGAAAAACGACGCGAAATTTTATTTGGCCCATTAAAAGGGCCATCATTAACTCAATTTCATCGTGACAGGGCCTCGGACCAGGTCCTGTCACATGTAAATTCCGTTGCACCAAGTGCCCGAACTGTGGGCGACTTAAAGAAAAAAATGAAAGATTTGAAATCAGGCACGAAGTCGAGGGCGAATGCCCTCGAAGGGAAGGAAGGAAAATCGGAGGAGGAGACAACGAAGCAACGCCCCTCAGTATTTTTGAAGAGAAAATGCTTTCCTTTATAGGAAAAGAAAGTATTGAGGGGATAGCTGGAGGAATTGACACCTATTGCAAAGTTGGTAAGTATAAGTACAATAAATTTATATTTATAACAATATTTATTAATATATTTAGTACATTTTCAAATATATTTTTTCACAATTTACAATATCGTTTATATTTAATGAGCCATATCTATTCGCATTACAGAGTTTCACAATCCAATTCCTGACCAGAGAAATTTGCAGATAACACTGTTTCATCTGGTGATCCTGGTTTTTCCTTCCTTCCCCTACCTTCCAGTCAAATCGCGCCACCACGTCGTACATCGCCATCGTCATCGCCACCACCATATTACATTGGTCAAGCGTTAAAGGAAGCTGATTATGAGAAGCGAGTTCGCTTTTGTCATTTTATGCAGGATAAAATGGACCAAGAACCTGATTTTTTGAGGTTTGTCATGTTTAGTTATGAGGCTAAGTTTTGTAACGGTGTTGTGAATCGCCACAATTGTCATTATTATGCTTTGGAGAATCCTCGTTGGATAAGGTAATTTCATTTTCAGCAAGTAATTTCAATTAATGTGTGGTGTGGAATAATAGACAACTATATCATTGGTCCATATTTATTCGAAAATAATTTGCCGGGAAATCGATATTTAAAGTTTGTGCAAAACGATTTGCCATTACTTCTAGAAAATGTATCTCTAAAAATTAGACAAAGAATGTGGTTTCAGCACGATGGTGCGCCTCCACATTACAATCGAAATGTAAGGGATTATTTGGACAAAATATATCGACGGAGGTGGATTGGACGAGATAGTGTTAATGCATGGCCGGCCATCACGTAGTCCCGATTGTACTCCCTTGGACTACTTTTTATGGGGAACCCTCAAGAACAAAGTTACGAAACTCCGTTTGCAGATATGGAAACTCTGAAAAATATAATTCGTGCTGTATGCCGAAAAATTACACCAGAAATTTTAGTGAGAGTTGGACAGTCTTTTGTGACGCGCATTCAAACATGTTTACAAAGTAATGGACATCAGTTTAAACATTTGTTGCATTAATTAGTTCTCTAGTTTTTGTTTAGTTTTTGAGTTATTTCACAGTTTCTTTACTGAAATAAAACTGTGTTACTGCATTGTAGTCATTTATTTATTGATTGGCGTTATTAGACTTTCTATGAAAGATGTCTAAATCTTTAATTCAGTTTATTATTATTAGTGTTTTTTGAATCAAGTTATAATTGAGTAATACTGGTTGCATTTAAAGTTCGTCAGGGTCGTGAAGTTATGTGAATCACCCTGTAGTTCTAGTGTTGAATTGAACGTAAGTACAAAAAAACTCATTATGAGTATGATTACATCTTTTTATATCAATATACATTCACGATGGTTTTGGAATTACTTTTTTCATTCGCCATCAGGAAATCGACATAAACACATTCGTCACAACCTATTATTATTTTATGTACGATGCCTGGTTGTGCGGCTATAGCATGTTCGAACCTACAGATCATTCAGTGTTATGAGAAGTATGTTTCAATTTTATTTACTGCTGAAACAAACTAGGTAAAATAATGTGACTGCAGGTACATTTTGAACCAGAAACGTGGGACAAAACTCGGGAGGATAGAAAACGAAAGTTAAAGGCATCTGCTGTGCCAATACTGTTTTCTTTTAGCAAAGAAGTTACTTCTGCTAAGCTTCTAGAGACAGGTTTCAAATTGGAACCTAGGGCATTGTCATCTATAACTTGTACATCCCAAACTTCTGTTGAAGAAGACGCTTTTAAGGAATCTGCATTTGTAAGACCAATTGAAATTTATACCTTACCTACTACAAAAATATAACAGGATGGCTTTGAAAATGAGACAATATCGCAAAACTATAAGAAATTTAAGACAGAAACGTAAGAACGAGATCTGATAATATAATAACCTATTTGCCTGGTCTAAAAGGAATTGCACGTGAAAATACTGCGCTTGATTGTTGGCTACTATTTCTCACGGAAAATTTATTGGTCGACATTGTTGGTTATACCAATGTTAAATTAGCAACTAAAGCTCCTGGATACGATGCAAATCATCAATATTTAGTCAAAAAGACTGATATAAAAGAAATTAAAGCAGTTATTGGCTTACTGTATTTAACAGGTTTATACAGGGCAGCGACAGAACTCGCGCCCCAGAGAAAAATGTCAATTGCCGGCGGCAATGGGTCGCCACAAAGTGCAGCCGAAGAAGTAACTTTTGTTTGCATAAGAAAGTTATTAGACCCTTAATTCCGCCAATCCCAGAAGGGGATTGAAGAAGGGCACCTCCGAGGGGGATTGAAAAATTATATCTGTTGTTGGTCTACTGTAATTTTTACATCTGTCATGTGTTAACATAACACGCTATTTTCGAATATTTTTCTCCCCAAAGAGGTTGTACACGAGTGTAATGGTTTGAATTTGTGTTAGATGTCAATTGTGTGGTTTAAGTTAATAAGTTTCAACCATGTAATTAGCCGCTGATTATTTGGAGATAATAACCATTTTTGGAAAGTGTTGTCGTAACGCCAGGGAGGCAGCTAGGATATTTTCCGAACGTTTTCCTGACAGAAATCGCCCATGCTATAAAGTCAAATTGAGGGCCATTGCCAGGGTGCAAGAGCGGTCAAGTCCTACCAGACCGAAAAGAAATTAGAGGTGTTCCCAGAACGGCGCGCATAGTTGAAAATGAAGAAGTTTTTCTTGATTTTTTAAGATGGCACTAAGTAGAGTAGAGAAGTTGCAGTCATTATAACTGACATACCCGTAGTAGAGGAAATTCCGGGGGCATTTCAGCAATGATTTCCAGTAAATTTGTGGACTGTTGAGGAATATCAACTAATTTCAATATCAATATTGCAATACTCTTGTGGATTGTTTAATGAAAAAGGAAGCAAGGGGTCTTAGTGCAATATGTGTTTTAGGTTACAATTACACTACCGAACAAAAATACCTTGGCAAATCTAACCTGTTTTGTTCAAGCACAAATATTTATAAAAAGTAAATTTTTCTGTTAGTTTTGCAATAAGGTAAAGAAACTGACGTACGTTTTTGTCTTTTTGGTTAATCTAACTCGCTTCTAGGATTAGTTTTCGGCTTGTTGTCTGTGTTGTTCATATCGAAGAAAAAGTAAGTAGGAACAATGCTTCTGAAGAAAACATCTAAAAGTATTAAAATAGTTGTTGGTTCATCGCAGTGGAAATCGAGTTTTCAAAAATTTTCAACGATTTCGTCTCATACTTGTGCACAACATCTTCAGCGAGAAAAATATTCGAAAATAGCGTGTTATGTCAAAAACATGACAGACAATTACAGTAATCCAGCTATTTTTTGAAACTTTTAAGCAAATTGGTATTATTTTTGTAACCTAGCAACGGATATAATTTTCCAATCACACCCTAAGGTGCCCTTCTGGGATTGGTGGAAGTAAGAGTCTCTCAACTTTCTTATGCAAGCAAAAGTTACTTCTTCGGCTGCACTTTTTGGCGACCCATTGCCGCCGGCATTTGACATTTTTCTCTAGGGCGCGAGTTCTGGCGCACCCTGTATAAGGCAAACCAACAGAACATCTCTGATCTTTGGAATACCGATGGTAGTGGCATAGATTTGTTTCGTACAACAATGTCACAACAAAGATTCTATATTGTGTTACAATCTCTGCGATTTGACATTTTACATAATAGAGCGCAACGCAAATCCATTGACAAGTTGGCACTTATTAGGGGGGTTTTTGATCATTTTGTTGATAACTGTAAAGCACACTATACACCCAGTGAATACCTAACAATTGACGAAAAGCTGGAGCCATTCAGGGGACGGGTGTCATTCCGTCAGTACATTCCCAATAAACCCGCCAAATATGGTTTAAAAGTATTCGCACTTGTCGACGCGAAAACGTATTGTTGCCTGAACATGGAAGTATACGTAGGGACCAACCGGAAGGACCTTTCCGACAAAGTAACAATCCGCAGGATTGCAACGTTTAATTGAGCCAGTATCTGGAACAAAACGCAATATCACATTCGATAATTGGTTTACAAGCTACCCTCTTATGATCAATCACCTCAAAACGCATCAGCTTACCTCTGTTAGAACGGTGAGAAAAAATAAACGGGAAATTCCTTCACCATTTCTCAGCATACGAACCAGAGAACATTGCAGTTCAATGTTTGTCTTCAAAAAAGATATTACGGCTATGTCGTATGTGCCAAGAAAATCGAAGAATGTCATACTTTTTTCTACTTTACATCATGATGGCACAATAGTTGAGCATTCTGGCGACAAAAACTTGCCTGAAATTATCGACTTTTATAATTCCACCAAAGGTGGCGTTGACACTTTGAATGAATTATCCGCAAATTACAGCGTAGCAAGAAACAGTCGCCGCTGGCCTTTGACTTTATTTTTCTCGATTTTGAATACTGCAGGAGTAAATGCTCAAGTTGTATGTAAACCCAATACGCAAAATTTCAACTTAAAACGACGAATGTTTTTGAAAGAACTTGGCCTACAGCTGATCACCGACTTTCGAGATCAGCGAAGAAAAAGTCCTAACTTGCGCAGAGGGCTACGCGAGAGCCAGCCGACAGAACGTCATGAACCGGTATCTAAACGATGTAGGACAAGCAGGAGGTGTTCTGTTTGTCCAAGAAACAAGGACAGAAAGACAATTTATGCCTGTATGCAATGTGATATTCCACTTTGCCTGGAGCACGCTTTTTTGACCTGTGAAAATTGTGCCAAATTAGAAGAGCCGTAACTTTTGTATTTTTCACGATAATGCTTTAATTTTTTTTTTGATCTGTTTGTTCTATATTTTTGCAGAATATAGTGTTAGTTCGATTATAAGTTATCCTTTCAAAAATTATTTATGTCCAATAATGTCTGCCTATGTTTTTCAGGGAACAGAATTGATGTTATTTTGAGTTAATATTTATATTTTTAAATAAAGATATTTTTAAACAATTTATTATTAATATTCCAATTACAAATAGGCATAGAATCATGTTTTACCAATGAAACAACGAAAATTCCAAATTCACTGCATCCTGAGTAAAAAATTTTAGTGTGGGGTATGACATACCCCAGAACACCAACCATGTAGAGTCCGTTTTTCTAAGAGGTACACACCAATATAATGGCCCAGTAACACATTTAAGACCAAATTTGTAACGCGCATGCTTGACGTAGGGGTTGCATGTCATCAGTAGCCTACTTTAATTTTCCTTACACTTACCTACCCCTACCAAACAAACAAACGGCCATTAGCAAGCATAAATCAAATTGTTTTTTTTCGTCTTTTGTTAATTGTTAATTGTGTATTTTGGTAAGTACAAACACAATTTTTTTTAATATTTCAAGCTTTTATTTGGTACGTAAAGAATGTGATGCAAAATTATTGTGAACATTGTTAAATCTTTTATTTTACGGGTATTATTCAAAATTAAAATGTTCAATAATTAATAACAAATGTACCATGGTTGGCTAAAAAAAATCATACACAGATGACGAAGAACAGATCCGAAAATTATAAATTTGAGTTGTGTAAACATTGCTTTTTTAAAAAAYGTTATGTTTGGATAGARTTGATAGGACGGACTCAGATGTTAAAATCGCTCAAATTTGAYTCTACTGAACATCACCCTCAGCAGCAATTGCCCTTATCGAAATTCCGTCTCTTAAATTTCGTGCTATAGTKTGTTTTTGKGWTTRAGTTAAACCCATTTTATCGTATTGACTAGCACTGCAGACTTTGATTTACAATATTAAAATTTTGGCTGTACGAGTTTTTTATATCCACCACGTATGTTACGCCACTGGCAAGCGATTTAAGCTCCCTTCTCTAAAAGTTCGCGCAGATTTTCGATCCCGCCCATATACCTCTTAGAAAAACGGACTCTAACTTTTTTCGCCCACACTAACGGAGGGTTAAAGTGGCAACTTCACAGCCACAGCAAAAAGACTGCGTATTAGCGTTTGATAAAAAATGGCTATCACACCAAGCAAAAGCTGCGATAGTTTTTTTAAATAAATAATTTGGCGAGATAACAATGCCACATCATTCAGATGTAGCTACTCATGTACTTATTTTTATTTTAGGGGGAGTTAATACTCGCTGGAAACAAGTTGTGGCATATTATTTTACGGGAGATTCAGTAAATGGAAGAGTCTTTAGTGAAATTTTTGGAAGGATATTTGTAAAATGTCTAGAGATGGGTTTAAGTTAAAAAAAACTTGACAGATCTAAAGTCAGAATTCCGAATTTTTATCGTTAAATTTTCGATAACTAAACACTACATTTGATATTTTACCCTATACATTTTTTTATTTTTTTAGGGCATCAATATAAAAGAGACTGTAATCGACGAGCTTTATGTGAGAAACCACAAATTGTTTCTAAAAGGTTGCATTTTTTGAGAAACTACAAGGAATATAAAGAAATGAATTTACATGATTTTGTATTTCTCGACGAAACATGGATCTTTGCAAAGGGAGGAAATCGTCACTCTTGACAAGATGATTCAATTAAATGGTGTCGAAATTCTAACGTGGGTAGCGGAAAAAGATACATCATTCTCCATGCAGAAGGGCGTAATGGTTTTGTGGAAAATGCTTCCCTAATATTTTCTTCTAAGACAAAATCAGACGATTACCATGACAACATGTCCGCGGCATTATCTAAAACTTTTTATGGCAAACACATCGGGAAAGCTGACTCTTCAAATGAATCTATCCTACAAATGTGGCACTAATAAATACAACAAGATATAAAAAACCAAATTTATCTCGAAGTGTTCAAAAAGAAATTGTAATTAGGGTAAATTCAGATGAAGTAAGTGATGGTGATTTCAGCGACATTGACGATACAGATAGTGAAAGTGATAGTAACATGAACTTAAATTGTAAAATATTGTAAATTACTAGTACTGTTATATTTTTTTTGTAAATAAAATTTCTCATGTTGCATTTTTTTAACCTGTTGAGAATCTCTGTTATGTTTTGGGTGAGTGAAGTAGGTAGGCGTGCTGGAGTTTGCTGTCTTTTTTAAACGACCTAAGTGTGAGAAAGACAACATACCACTTGTGGGACCAGAGAGGGGCATAACGTTTATCTTACTTGCTCCTACCTACTTACCTGAAGAGCGAGAGAGACACCAAAGTTTTATAACAATCGGGTAAAATTAAAACAATTCTTCTATAGCTTCGTTTGGAGTTAGTAATTACAATTGCCCTGGCGATTACGCATACCGATGGCCCCCAACTCCTAGGAATGTAGTTACTTCTGTCATTCTATCAACCAGGCGGCAATTTCACAACTTCGTTATGGACAAGTGGTCAGTCGCGTACTCTCAACTGTTACTATAACGCCGGATTCCCAGCTTCGTTCGCATACAGAAAGCACACACACTTTTTCCATTGGTCGATATGAGCTTACATCCCTGAATCACCAGCCAAGCATCTCCCAGATGAAAAGGGGTAATGGATCAGGGACACAAACAAAATAAAGAAATAATTATCCAGACATAAATATTGTTAATGATTGTAAATAAAGGTGATGGTTGAAAAGTTTACCAGTTATGGTTTTCTGAGTTATAAAAATGGCGAACGTCACGTGGATTAAAATGACGTAAGTTTCCATGACTTTCAAAATGACAATCATCGTGAATTGGGGTTAGAATCCAATTGTTCCAAAGTTTAGATTTCTACATTACTTTTCGTGGCGGACTTCCCACAAGGAAAATTCATTTCGGCGGTGAGAAAAACACATTGAGATGGGCTTGGTTCAAACTGTGGTACCAAGGCTTTTTTTCACTTTGGTGTACAAATTTCTGATTCATTCGTACCGGGATTTACATTAGACATTATTTACAACATTTGGTTTAATATCCACTGTGGTTTAAACAAATTTACAAAAACAAAGAGCGACTAACTAATTGAGTTCAACTGCCCACTTCGAAATATTTAATGCTCTTTAAAGTTGGTGACTTCTCCCTATCCGGTCCCTGGCTAGAGCTGCCAACATTTCCGGCGTGGTCCACTGGCGGTTTGAATTCAAGCCCAGTCATCAAATAACGAATAAAATAATTACTCTACCTCAAAATATTCAAGAAAAATATCAATTAAAAACAAAGTGTGTTTGCAACAAAGTTAGCACCTAAATTAAGACGAGAAGATTTGGCACCGTCACATTCCTATAAAATGAAAGTGAAAACGTCAACTCACGTTATTAGCCACGATGTCAGTGGTGCTCCAAAATTATTAAGAAATCTCTCTGCCCGAAAAAGAAATAGAGTAAGTTACCATTTCACCCGATTCACCATATCACCCTGGTTTTGAAAACGTGCATCCAGAGCTTGGAGAAAAGATTCTCAGGCATACTCAATTTGTCATCGGAAGCCGCCATTATATCAGCTATTGTCCACCCCAAGTTTAAATTACGTTGGTATAATGTCCTAAAAAATACGGACTTTTCCATGGACGCTATGAAGAAGATGGTCATTGGCGCCGCTGAGAAGCTAATCACCCTTAATAATTACGAAGAACCGGGGGATACAGGAGGTTCAAGCGACACTACCCCAGATGACTTTTTTGACTTCAATGAACCAGAAGATCCAACCAAACAAGTCACACAGACATTACCTCAATCTCAATCTGCTACCGAAAACGAAGCAGTAAAAACTTCCAAAATAGAGCTTGAACTGTACAAATTTCTGGATGAAAAAAAGAGTGGATTGAGTTCCTTGAATGATTATCCCATAATTAAAAAAGTGTTTTTGAGGTATAATACTTGCCTACCTTCCTCTACGCCAGTAGAGCGGTTGTTTTCATTCGCCACAATTGTTAACAGTCCACGGCGAAATGCGTTGACCGATGCTAACTTTGAAAAATTGGTCATTATGAAGGCGAACAGACTTATGCAGTGATCATGTTTGGATATTTTTATTGTTTCTTTTTTCAATTTAATGTTTAATAATAAACTAATTTCTAATAAACTGTTTTGATAATTTAGCTCATTATAAATCGAAAACAATTTTAAGTTAAAATTAGTAGGGGAAAATAGAAGTATGTACTTGCAAATAGTACTCTTAAAATTTGAGTACTTGTACTCGGAGTACTATACTCGACAGGGTGTGTAAAATTATAGTACTCGGTACTCTGTAACCGTTCTTAAGTTATAACATGTACTCGGAACTCGGTACTCGAGTACAATTTATCAGTACCCGGCCCGCTCTGGTAATTGTGCGAGGAAGCATTGAGTGATCTTGTACGAGTATGTTATGATGGATTAATAAAAATTGTATACCATTACTACTTATAAAGTAATTTTCTATAATATCAATAACATCAAAAAATATGTCCCAAAGACTAACAACAATAATTAATAATTGTTCATCATCCATTTTTTGAACTTAAATTCTGAGGTAGGTAAGAAATACTAAACTTGACACGGTGAAGGTTGAAAAAAAATATTACTACTATTTATCATCATTACTACTATTTACCGGTTACTGCAGATAATGGATGCCGTCGAAATCGAACTAACAGATCACGAGACGGAAAGACGGATAGAGGAAGGAGAAACGCCTATCCCGTTTACTAAAGCGGAGCTGAAAGATGCCCTGAATAAGATAAAAACCGGCAAGGCTGCAGACCCAGATGGGGTGCCTCCGGAAGTAGTCAAAGCATTGCGAGCTGAATTTCCCGAATATACAGGCTGCACCAGAACTCGCGCCCCAGAGAAAAATGCCATATAACGTAAGATACCAGGAACATGGAAAAAATGTTAAAAAAATTTTATCTATAAAACTTTCAAAGTTATGAGGGTTTATAGTTTGCACTTTGACTCTATTTATTTCTGTTGGAAAAATAATTTTCTAAGTTTTCTTGCTCTAGGCTATTAAAAGAGGAAACAAGGAAGCTGTATCCTAAATTGTACCTCTGTTTAATGTTATTTGTGGCTTTTATTAGCATAATTTGTGTCCCTTTACTAAATAATTGTAAAAAAACATATACAAGATCATCAATATCATTAAATAGATATAAAAAAATGACAAATATCAAAAACCAAATGTCAAAATTTTTTGACAGATAGAATTTTTTGAACATTTTTTCATGTTCCTGGTATCTTACCTTACTCGAAAATTTTCTCTGGGGCGCAAGTTCTGGCGCACCTGTATATTGAAAATCATGAATGATCTCCTAGAGGTGGGTGTTTTTCCTAACATGTGGAAGACTACAAGCCTTGTTTTGATAAAAACAAAAAAAAATGCTGGACACCATGGGGAAACTATTATAACATCTCATAGGAACAAGAATTAAAGAAGAGCTAGCGGGAAAATGAAACTTGTTGGATAGACAATTTGGTTTTAGGGCTGGACGATCTACGTTGGATGCGATAAAAATGGTCTGTGACATTGCCGGAAAAGAAATGAAACGTAAATGCAAAATTAGGAAATTGTGCGCTCTGGTTGCACTCCTTGCCGCAGCCAACATGAGGGAGGGTTTACAAGAAGTGCGGCAAGAAGCGATGAGACATAATTTGGCAATGGGTGCCTTATTCAATTATATTCAACTGAATGAAATTAATTTTATATTTTACAAATCTGTTAATCCAAAATCTAAATTCAGGTAATGGCTGGATTTGGTGGGGAAAGACAGGGTGTCCGTCTTCAGGTTGCCCCGAAGGACTGTTTTTGGGTAAATTTTCTTTATTCATAAGTGATTCGTTTTTTTGTAAGTCTTTTAGTTTAAAACTAATAACGTTATAACATTAATTATATGCAATTAATTATTTTATTTCTTTTAGAGAGTTGTTTCGTCAACAGATTTTTACACTGCAGATATCGTTTTAGACTTAACTGATTATTAAAATGTATTATTGTTACTTATCAAATTTTGTTAAATAGACGATCCTCTCGCTGCCGTTCCAGAGCCTCCGCACCCAGAACCAATCATCGTTGGCGCTATGGGTATGTTTAAAATAACTTGTGTTTTTCACTTGGATTTTTGCTTACTTTAGTATTTTAGTATTAACTAGGTATTTTCAGATATCGCTTTAGAGTACGTAAATTGATTTTTAAATGCATTATTACTTACATAATTCTGTTAAATAGACGACCCTCTCGCTGCTGCCCATCTCGGTGACCCTCACGAGCCCCCTCACCTGGTTTTCATTGTTGCCTCAGGTATGTTTGAAATAAGTATTTGTATTTTTGCCTTCCTCTTTTCTAAATATAATAAAAGATTTAAGATATCGTTCTAGAGTTAACTGATTTTTAAAATATAAGGTTATTTATAAAATTTTGTTAAATAGACGATCCTCTCGCTGCCGCTCCAGAACCCCCGCACCCGGAACCAGTCATCGTTGGCGCTCCAGGTATGTTTCAAATAAGATGTATTTTAAATTTGGATTTTTGCTTACTTTAGTACAGATATCGTTTCCAGTAATTTAATTTTTAAACATACGATTACTTATAAAACTTTGTTAAATAGACGACCCTTTGGCTGCCCTTCCCGAACTGCCTTTACCGGAACCGGAGCAATTAATTGTAGACGCCCCAGGTATGTTTGAAATAAGTTTTATTTTTTCATTTGCATTTCACTCATTGCTAGACAATAAGGAATTTCAGATATGGTTTTAAAGTTAAGTGGTTTTTGTTTGATTATTCATATTTTTTTTTAATAGCTGATGCCCTACCGCAAAATCACTTCGTTGTCCCTCCTGAGCCCCCTCGACCTGGACCTTTGGAAGTTCCTGCCCTTGGTATGTTTGCTAATTTTACATTATCAATTCAATAAACGCATTTCTTTTAACAGATGACCCACCACATAATCCTCCTCTGTGTGTGGTTTGTCGGGGTGCACGAGCGACCCGCATGTTTTATCGTTGCGGGCATTGCGTATTGTGTACAAACTGCTCAAACGAAATACGTGCCTACAACTTGTTCCGTGTGTCGGTCGAGGTGGGAGGACATTGTCCAGATTTTTTTATTAATGTTTTTTTTTTATTTATCTTGTATCATTTAACCTAATCATTTAATATGTCTGAGTTTTGAATTGTCTAATTTGAACACCTATTGTGGTCTGTTTAGGTGAGTTACTGTTATTTTAACAACTCGTTTTCTGTATTAAAACTACCGAACATAATTATGATTTAACATTAATAGGTATTAGATTAGGGTATTGTAAGAATTAATACTTTTCTGTATTTTAAACAATCTACTTCTCGTTTTTAAAAGTCTCTGCATATTGTTAGTTAAGTAGGAAACATATTTTTTGTTATTAAGGAGTAAACCTCGCATAGTACCGTGCGATCAAAAAAAAAAAAAATTAGAGTACGCGATGAATAAAGTCCTTCAGATGGCAGTCCTGATTTTTGACATCAAATATGTCAGCGGAAACTTTAACAAGTTTGCGTTTTATTCCTTTTGAGTGAAATAATGTTCACTTTAGAGCAGAAAATTTTTATTGCTGTACAAGAGGAAAACGGTAGATGGTCATTTTCACTTTCAATTTGTGTTGAAAATTTTCAGGCCCGATTCCCAGCCAATGTGTTGCCAACTGTAGAATTTAATCGACGCCTACTCTAATTTATTTTTTATTTGATGGCACGGTACATGCTTCCCAATATGTACTTTACCTATGTATTTGTGCAATAATTACACATATTAAAATTTAAAAGAAATCATTTTTGTGTTTATTTTTCTAACCCCAATCCCACAAACTTCAAATCGTGATGAATTTAAAAACTGTAAATTTACTAGTCTGTTTTTTTTTTCAATGTAATGTCAGATTTACAGACGAAAACAAGAACAAGAACAAATTCGGTACTACAAACTATTTTGGAAATTTGGGGACGACACAGGTATCTACCTGAAAAGTGAATTTTGAAACTAAAAAGCCACAACTAAAGAGAAATTTAAAACAAAGCAACAACTTTGAGCTAATTTTAAATACAACACACAAAAGTTATTGTTAATTTGCAGAATATCTAAGTGTATCCCCCACAGAATAAGTTTTTCTAAATACGAGTACACAATATTTTTTATAACAAAAAAATTTGTAACGGGAAACCCACTTTTGCCCTGTAGCACTGCCATTAGACACAAGATAGAGATGTCTGTCCTCAGATTTTCGATAATTACGCTTTCAAGGAACAGAAAGACACACAAAATCCGTGAAAATCAAGACATTTCAACATAACAAGATAATCCCACTTTTTTACGTAATTTTCTAGGAACAAAAACAACTAAATTTGTGACCATGGGGACAAGCTGCCACCTGTTTTCTCACAAAAATTTGACGTTGCTAATTTCTGTTTAAATTAAAAACAGCTTTTACCAATTTTTGGAAATTTGCTTTAAATTTTGGAATTTCAAACCAAGGTCACCTAGGCCCGTGAAGATCTAGTAGGTCATGCCTCGCTAAAAATCACACATAACACTGCCCTCTGTTAGGCAAAAATGGAACTACGAGGTTAAGTCCCCCCACCACTATTCTGATTTTAACCGTTTATGCCGAGGCGCGGTTATGCGATTGAATGGTTCTCGATTTGAATGTTTATACAAAAGGACATTTCTAGAGAAATAGGTTTCTGATGATGCATTTTCTTTCCACAAGGAAAATTCATTTCGGCGGTGAGAGAGATAAACACATTGAGATGGGCTTGGTCTAAACTGTGGTACCAAGGGTTGTTTTTTCACTTTGGTGTACAAATTTCTGATTCATTCGTACCGGGATTTATCGTTTGCCAAGATAGGTAATTTCAATGCATTTTTCGAAAAGGTGTTTCTCGGCTATTATAAGGAATTTTTTGGTTTTTATTTTTTTGATGAAACCATTTTAGATATTTCTAGGGATATTGTTATGTAGTTAATTTAAATTCTTATTTTTTATATATTTTTTAACTTATTTTTTATAATAA